TGTTTTAAAACAATTCAAAAATCATTAAAAATCATTAAAAAACGTTTTTTTGCCATCCCTAGCTTCTGTCCGTAATTATTTTTATTTTGGGCCCTTATTTATAATTATTTTCAAATTTGGGCCCTTATTTGTAATTTCCCCATTAATATAATTTGAAAGTGTTTCTTTAACTTAACCTTTGGAAATAACATATTTGGTTATTTTTTTCCAAGTGGATAACTGTCTCTTGCAAATAGTAATCACACATGGTCCCGTAATGCTACTAGTAAAAGGCATTTTTTGAAAGTCTGTGAAAAGTAAGATCGTTTTTAGATTCTTTTGCACAGTCAATATTGGCACTGTTCTAAAGTTTATGAATGGCTTTTGCGACGATTTTTTATTAGTAAAACGTTGTGTTACTGAAAAGTGGGTACTTTATGTATAAATAAGTTACCCGGGCAATTGATTTGCATTAGCCAATCAGACGAACTTCTTCCTACGTCGTTACACCGATCGACATAACCTGGCACAGAATGTCAAAAATCATTTTCACATTTAAATTTAAATTTACGCCAAGTGCAAAATATTTTCGACACCCATGTATAGTGCAAGCAGTAGTAGTCGTAGCAGTAGTAATAAAGTTTTTTCCGATTCAGCAATAGAAGCGCAGTTAAAATATTTGCTAGATAGAGAAGCGGAACTACAGTTACAAATTGACGAATTAATAGAAGAAATTACACAATTAGAAGCTAAGATTACTAATAAGGATGGTCAAGACGGTAGTTTAACATGCAGCGGGAATGGAAAAAAGAGAGAGCGTGGAAAAAGTGTCGAATGTGGGGATAAGGCTGAAAATAATGGTATTTGCCTTGTTTTAATATAAACGTTGATTTTTAATCTGGTTTAAAAAAAAAAAAAAAAGGAAATTTGAATAATAACTAATTTGAAAGCTAACTTGTTAATAATTTAATCAAAATTTACGCGTTTTTTCGCGTTTATCCCTTAGATATTTGCTGGGAAGAGTTTGAAGCGCCAGAGTGGTGTATTCCTATTAAAGCAGATGTGTTAACATTTGAATGGGATGTATGTATTATAATAAGTAGGGTTGTTAATAGAGTACTCCAGACTATAACAAACATATAACCCGTTTCTGGAGTGCTCCGGAATAGGTTATATGTTTTATTATTGACTGGAGCACTCCATTAACAACCAAGTAATAAATACAATTGTTTCTAGTTAATTATTAAGTTCATAGCTCATTAAATTATTGAAACTTGATTATACTTTGCATTGCATTTCTAGCATTCAATAATTAATTCCAAATTTTTTATTAACGTCAAAGGTATTCGCAAAAGAATGTCAATTTGATGTAATTCTAATGGACCCTCCATGGCAATTAGCAACTCATGCTCCAACTCGTGGTGTAAATTATTCACATCTTTCTTTACACCGTTATAAAATCGGATTAACCATTTTATTTATACCCGATTTTATATAATTTTCATATAATTTATGCCACGTTGTATTGTACTGTACACACGATAGGTCGCAATCGCTTATCAACAATTACCAGACATTTGTATCGAGGAGTTGCCCATACCGAAATTACAAAAAAATGGATTTTTATTTATATGGGTAATTAACAACAAATAT